ACCCTCTCCCGGGTGGGGAAGGGGGGTGGGATGGCACGAGGGGCCCACGCCGCAGCCGTCAGCGCAGCCACGTGCTCCCCGCGTGCCGGGCAGTGGGTCACGGCGTGCCAGGCAGCTGGCACCGGGCTGCAGCCATCCCAGCAAAGCGAGCGGCGCCTGCATCCGCAGGCTCTGAGTGCGTGGGATGCTCCTGCCCTGAGTCACCACGGAACCGAGACTGGGGTGACAGCAGGAGCAGAGCAGGCTCATGCCATCATCGCTCCGGGTGCCGAGCTGGCTCTGCACTGACTCACGGTTTGGGGAGAAAGAGCTTCTTCGGTGCTCCAAGAGGCTCCCTAGGAAGGGACGGCAACGGAGAGACCCCAGCAGGCAAATCCATGGGACGAAGTTTAATTCTGACCCCAAAGGCACCCCGCTGCTTTTTGGTGACAGCTCAGGGTGACCTTTGAAGGTACATTGTAATCATCCCTAGCAGAGGCTCATTATGTTTTGCTGCATTAAGCAATCCTCAGGGGCACCGCAGTTAACCCTCGCTGTGCCACCTCCGGCTGGCGCCTCACCTCCTGCTTCTGCTGATGGGGAAACTGAGGCACGGAGGTGATGCTCCGACCGCCACCAACCACACAACCCGCTCCCAGGCTCCAGCCGGCACAGGGCAGGCGGAGGATCTCAACAGAGAGATGGGGAAGGAGTTAATCCCCTGGGAGCAGGAAGATGGGTGTGCCGAGCAGAGCAGCGAGCCCCCTGCCACTGGTGCCAGTGCTTAGTCAGGTGTTGGAAAATCATTCCTGATAAGGCAAGGTTAAACAAACACCATCGCAGCTGCCCGACAGAGTGGGTTTACCCCTCACAACCGTCACTCCTGCCAAAAGCAGGACAGGAGGCTGTCCCTGTGCCATACCGGGGGCAAGAGCAGTGCCGGGGCTCGGCCCCGCTGATGTGAGGAGCCGACACATGAGCACAACCCCCGTGGCACAAGCCATCCCCAGCCCGACCTGCTCCAGGGAAGTGAACCCAGCTGCCACCACGCTCCAGCAAGGAAGACAACGGGATCCCTAAATCCCACCCTGCCTTGTCCTGAAAAACCTGAAGAAGTTTCATGGAAGAGAGCGGAGCTGCCACTGAACAGAGAGCCCCGCAGCGGTGCAAACCCCACCGCCACAGCACGTAGGAACAAAAACCGAGGTGCTTTCACGGCGGGTGTGAAGGTCCCAGCCCCCGGAGTTTCGGTGCTACCTGCTAGACGCCAGTGGCCGATGTGTAAGGCACCGCCACCGCTGCAGTCCTTCCCCCAGCCCGCTCCAAAGCGCCCGTTTCAGGCTTCGGCTCACCCCAGGATGAGTGCTGGCGGGGACTCCCTAGCAGCACTGCTGCCCAGGGTCTTTCCCACCCACTCGTCTCGGGGTTTCCACCTTCCAGCCCACGTCAACCGGCCCTGCAGAGGTGGCATGGCTATTTGGGGAGCCACCGACTCCCCGCAAGCAAAGCCCTGAGCCAGAGAGTGATCCCGCTGTCCCCAGGGACACCTGAGGGAAGGGGAATGCAGGAGCAAGAGGAAAAACTGCAAATGTTTTGGTTGGGTTTTTCTTCGGAGGGGAAAATGAGCCTTACAAACAGAGGCAATTCCCAACTTTTCAGGAAACTCAGGAGGTTGGTGCACTGAAGTTGCAGCCCG